TTTGAACAATAACTGTAGTTTAATATTGGTAGCTTAATATTGTAAAACATTACAGCTCCAACTTATATGAATAAAGGAATAATACTAACACAAACTATGTGAGTGAGAAAATATAAATATAAATGGTATAATACAATGATATAAAATAGTGTTAGTAGAAATTAATAAACTACACATCTAAAACTAATAAGAGATTCTCTATCATTTTAGGGGTAGATTATAATAAATGAAAGTCTATACAATAGACCCACACCAGCCATCTATACAATAGAATTTGAAAATTTACAAAAGTTGTTAAATCTTTTTTCCTAATCAATTCTGGATAGGTTTTATCAACTGGAGCACAAAAAGAAGCATTTTGCATGTTACTGAGGAAATATAGTCCATCAATCCAACTTGCAAGTATGTCTGATCAGCATGACCTGCTAGCCTTGCCCATTCATTCATTCATTCATTCATTCATTCATTCATTCATTCATTCATTCATTCATTCATTCAATGTATACAGCTGCCCATCTCACTTTCATGTAACCCTAGGCGGCTTATGATAAAGTAAATAAAATATATAAAATAAACAATATCAAAAATAAAAACAGACAGCATCTAGGCATTACCTGAGCAATCAACCATCCAGCCAGGAGATCGCCTCTATTCTACATCCAGGGCCCCAGGCCAATCTCAAATCAAATCTTTATTACGGTCATAGACCAGCATAAGGAAGATGGGGTACAGTCAATTAAAAAGCATAAACAATATATTGGTGTTTATACAAAATTTTTTGAAAAGCTAAGAGATACAAAACAGAAAGTGTATATAAAAAACAAAGAATCTAAAAGGATCTAAAAGGATCTAAAATGTGGGGATAGGAGCATTAGATGGGTGTGGGGGAGAATAAAGGTTAGTATGTGGCAGACTGTATTAATTACAGAGTACTCTTGTGTGATGAACTAGATTAAGACTAGTTTACGGCACAGGTCATCATCTGATGAATTTTAATTGCTGCTGCACAGAACCTGGCAACATTATATGCTGTAGCAGGGTTGGTATCTGAAAGCAGCAGGGAGGTGTAGAATTGTCCTGTGCGCCCTGGGGATTTACGCAGT